GCCAGAATTGCAACCCCTGAAACTTGTCTCCTGCTCCTGCTGCACTGGTCCGCGGCACTCGGCCTTGTATTTCCTACCTGCTATTTCTTATCCCTTCCTCTCCTTTTCTCTGTCTTTCTTTCCCCTCCTGGAGAGCTTCCTCCTCCCTCCCATCCCACAAGGCTCATTGGTGGGAGGAGATGGCCCCTGTCCCCGCCTGACCGGTGGGCCCTTCCCTCCGGGTCCTCCCGGTGTGGGGGAGCAGACAGTGAGGTCTTTTATGAAACAACAATTCTTACCATTATTTTTTTGGTTTGTTTTACGTACGCCTTCTCAAATTAGTGAACTAAAACTCGTTGAGCTTAAAGTCTGCGGCCTCTACTATTCTAGCCTTCTTGGCTTTCAGCTTCTCCTCTGTGTAGTGGGTGAGGGTGCCTCTGAGCCTTCTTCTTGCATGTCCCCTGCGGTCACTTTCCTTGCTCTTATGCTTTTCCTTCTTGCTCTTCCTTACTCCAGGCCTGCACTTCTCTTCTGAGTCCTCAGGCCAGTTTGCGTTCCCCTGAGTAGATGCTCTCTGACTTGGGGGAATCATCCAAAGGGCACCTCAATTTACATTCAACCAATTTTCCTGGGAGTAGAAGCAGCAAGGCTGATGTCCCAAGGAATAGAGCCTCCTGGGATGCAGCTCAAGAACACCTACTAACGAGTCAGGAAAGCTTGACCAGATTAGAAAACCAGGGCCTATCTAGATGATTCTTCCCTAGATTCTAGGGTCCTTATGTATAAGTGCTAAGAAAACTTTTGAAGTCACTTAAACCTTTATTCTCTGCACTTTTTTTTTCCTGCCAGATTTCTCCTCAAATTAAATATCTGACAGCAAGCAAAAACTGGTGGACTTGAAATATAAAACAATTTGAGCCCTCCCTCGTGGCTCAAAGGGTTAAAGCACAGACTATGAAGCTATTGCAGACACTGCAGCAAGAGTTCGGTCCCCGGCCCTGGAGGTGACCCACATAGCGTGGCAGACCTCTCCTGACCCGCTGCTTCCCACAGCAGAGTACTTCATTGATCTGCCTGTTCTGCTCCCCGCTCTGTCTCTGGTGAATCCTCTGACCCTCTGCACCTCTGGCCTGTACTCCAGTTCTGCATGCATAAATAAATAAATCTTTAAAAAATATACATATAGCAGCTCCTTTTTCAAAATGTTTGCCTCACTCTGGTTGCTTATCATTTCATGCCAACCTCTCAGTTAGAGCCTCTCACTTGGCCTCACTGATGGAAGTCCCTCTCCCTTGCTTCTGAGGGGGCTTCACAGATGTCCTTCTTGGATAATGATGTTATCAAGTTACCCTGTTTCTAGGCCCATCAAATGCTAGTGCTCAGTTTAGCTTTTCTTTCTCCTAAAAGAAGAACAAAACACCACCTTCCATCCCTCAATCCTAAAAGCAAAAGTAATGAACTATAGAAATGATCCCTGAAAGTATAGTCTTAACCTGAAAGCAAAAGTAATGTGTTCACAGCCAGGCATTATATAAAGGTGTGAGAAGAGGTGGCCAGCACATGTATTTTGCCATTCCGAGGGAGATGTGGCGATCAGTTTGATTGTTTTGAATATTCAAAATCCCAACTGCATCTGCCATACTGGACGCATCCCTCCCAGCCCCTACAGGTATCAGCCAGGCTCCCTCTGGCCAGTCCCAGTTCCTCCAGCCCCAGAAATTCATTCCCACTTGCGTGACTTCATTTCAGTCTTTTGCAGCGGCCCCATCCTCCACCCACCCAACTCATCTGCAATTTCTAAATCCAGCTTAAGTCCCCTTTCTTGCATGGAACCTGCCAAATCTTCCTGTGTGTCAAACATGTGCCACACAATTCAACCCCAAAACTGCCTCCCCCCAGGGCTACTGCACCTCCCCACGCACGTCACACACCGTCAGGGGCTGAGATTATGCCTGGCTTTTTAGAGTTTAGTGACCTGATGGGCAACCATAAATGTCTATCTCATCATACATGTGAATAAATAAATGGCCACTAGACGGGCTTCCCTTTAATTCAGAGAAGGTGCTTACTCCAGCTCTTAAAGACTGCATTTAATTTTCTTGAAGGTGCCAGGACTACAGACAGCGTTCATTTACATGAATATCCTGAAGGTGCTTTTCAATCTCCCCTGCAGTGTTCCCAGGGTACTAGTTAAGACAGGATTTCCCCTCTAAGTTCCATCATAAAGCTTATGCATTTCTGGGGTATTATTCACTTTCTGCTCACTAAACTGCCCCTTTTGGCATTCGCTGCCTCAAGTTCACAGGACCCTTGGTGCCTAGACTGATAGCACCTCTAGAGATCAGTACTCAAATTACACTTTGTAGCTTAAAGTACCCAGGCGATGAATGTCCTGTACCTTCTTGGAGCAGAATATTTTCACTGATTTAACAAAGGTTCTGATTCCATCAAGAGCTATTGAAATCTTCATGGCATTGAGGAACAACATCCCAGGACTCCAAACAAGAGTCCATGGAGGCAGCAAACAGCTGAGGCTGGGATGGAAGCCAGCTTGTTCCACTGCCGTCACCTATCTGGGGACTGAAGGGTACTTGTGTGCAAGGTACGACTTGTTAACCCAAAGGGTTGCAGAATCACGCTCACCTCTCATCACACTTAATGAGGATCACGCTGTCTGTTCCAATCCCCAAGGCTGCAGCGCCTTTCTTGAGAGAAAAATGACTCTGTGAAAAAAAATAAAACATATTTGTATACAAAGTCAAGAGCCATTCACTGTTTTTTTCTTTTCCTTTTTTTACAGTTATCCCTCTTTATGTGAGGTTTCACTGTCTGTAGTTTCAGTTACCTGCAGTCAACCACGATCCGAAACTTTTAAGTAGACTTTGGAATTTTTAGATATTTTAGAATTTGAGTGACCATAGTCCTATACCTTGCAGTGCAGTTTATTATTTGTTATAATTGTTCTACTTTATTATCAATTGTTGATTTTAACTTCTCATTGTGCCTGTTTTATAAATCAAGCTTTATCATAGATATGTATGTGTAAGAAAACAATATAGTGGATATAATATATTCAAGATTTGGGACGCCCTGCTATTCAGGCAGCCCCTGAGACTTCCGGATGGTTTCCCTTGCAGAGACAGGGGCTACTGCATTAAAAAAAAAAAGAAGAAAAAAAAAAGCCTGCCAAGCCTGGCTTTTCAAACATACAGTTCAGTGACCTGAAGTCCATACTGTTCTATAATGACCATCACTTGTGGCTACCCATAAGCTCTTTTCACCTTGCAAAGCCAAAACTCGAAACTTGACACCCATTAAATGACAAATTCCCATTCACTCTGGCGACCACATCCTATGTCTCTCTCAGTGAATTTGGACAGACTTACGTAGGTAGAATCCTATGTTAAGTGACCTTTCATGCTTACTTATTTCGTTAGCCTGCTGTTCTCACCACACATTCATGTTGTGGCATGTGCTAGAATTTTCCTCCTTCTTCGTATTGAACCTTATTCATGATGGGTATAACCACATACTATTTTTCTGTTCAGCCTCACTGGACACTGGGGCCTTTCTACCTTTTTTTATTTTTTTATTATTTTTTAAAGATTTATTTATTTATTTGTACAGAACTGGGTTACAGGCCAGAGATGCGGAGGGTGAGAGAATTCACCAGAGACAGAGCGGGGAGCAGAACAGGCAGATCGACGAAGTACACTGCTGAGGGGAGCAGCGGGCGGGTCAGGAGAGGTCTGCCACGCCATGTGGTCACCTCTGGGGCAGGTGGGAATCGAACTCATGCGGAAGTGGCTTTAGCTTCTCTGTGCTGTGCTTTAATCCGCTGCGCCACCAGGGAGGGCCCCTTTCTACCTTTTGACCAGTGTGGATAATCGTGCTATGCTCAAGGGTGTATACCCCTCTCTTCAAGGGGTTGATACTTGAAAAACATTTGAAAAACATTTCAAGATTTGATACTTGAAAAACATGCTGCACTTGGCTTTTAATTCTTGTGGAATTCCTCAGTGGAATTGCTGGACCATATGAAAATCCTACTCTGAGAGTTGCCTGCTGTTTTTTACAGCAGCTGCACCATTTTACTTTCCCACCAAAAATGCTCAGAGGTTCTAATTTTCCATATCCTTGCCAACTCTTGTTATGCTCTGTTTTTGACAGTAGTCATTCTGTATGATTTCATTTTGTATTTCCCTAGTGGGGTTACATTAAGTATCTTTCTAGGTCTTATTGAACATTTGCACATCTTTGGATCACTATCTCTACAAACTCTTTGTCCTTTTTTTTTTTAAACTCACTAGCCTATTGAGGAGGCTAGGAAGACCCTGGAAATTATAGATGAACCTCTCCCTAACATTTAGTAATCCAATCCAATTGACAGACAGGCATAAGAATGCATCAATTCCCTCAGCAGTGAGGCAGCCTGTGGTTTCCAGATTTACATTTTACTACTAAGAGGAGACACACAGTTCCTCTCAAATTTAGTGGACACTCAAGTAAGAGAAGCTTGCATTAAATCCAGCAATCTTCACCCCACAATTGGAAGTTCTGTTTGCTGTGCAGGCCACTGCCTAGCCTGGGCCGGGCTGGGGAAGGGGCCTTGTCCCTGGCTTGAACAGAAGACCATGTGCTGAAAGGTCATGCTGACAAGCCACTGCCAACTCTTTGTTTCTGCTTTTGGTTATTGATTCCGGGCAGGATTCAGAATCTCAATGGCTGTAATCACTGTACAATTTGGAGAGCTGAGAAAGGCTAACCTAAGCCCAGCTGTACTGCATCTGCCCAGCAGCCTCTTACTATTAACTACAGATCATTAAGCTGTCCAAAGGAGGGCTGCTGCCTCAATTTACATCTCCAAAGTGTTGCTGACTGGAATTTTAAGTCTTGGTTCCATAGCCAAATCAACCAGTCTACTAGAGTGTAGTCTCTTCAAAAGCCCACTTTTGATTCATTAGGATTCTTAAGTATGCAGCAGCCACTGATAACACATATTTCAGGAGGTTTGTCTAATAAGCAAGAAGGCATAATGGCAGCAAATAACAAACCGATGATCAAGTTACTGAATAGAGATGTTTAGAAAACCCGGTATGGCTAAGAAGTAATGAGAAAGGACCATTTGTCTCCTTTTACAACCTCAGAAAGAAAATAATGGACAGTTTTTAGCAAGAAACCTGGGGATTAAGAGGAAAAGTTTAATTGGGTCTGTCAAGATGCATGGCTCCCCCATCCAAAAAAATTGTTCTTTCTTGTAGAGTTAGACCCCTGTGAGTGACCTCAAAGAGAAGTCAGGGAACGGGGCGCTAAGTGTCTCAGTGCTGGGGGTGTGGGGTTCACAGAACAGAGCAGCCAGCTGCCTTGCTGAGCAAGCACAATCTACCCAAATTAAGCGCCTCAGAGAAGGAGCTTAAGCACTAAACTGCCAAATGGCAAATTGGGGCTCAATAAGAGGTCTGGTGCACCTGGCTAGGGAGAGGCAGTATCTTGTCTGGTCTTTTAATGAGAAAGAATAGAGATTCTCAAATGAGGAGCAATTACCTAAGATGATTGATCACTGTACCTAACGCCACACACTTAAAGAAAAAGATGAAAGTTTCAAGAGAGGGGAATGGAGGTGACATGAGGCATGAAAAAGAAAATTAGGTGCAGAATGGAGCCTGTTTATATTTTCAGGCAAGGGAGCAGAAAGGTAACTGTTCTCCACACATAGCAAGGGACGTGTGGAGAGGAAGGAACTTGGGAGGAAAACAATAGATTGCACCTAGTGAGGCAGAACAGCAAAGACAGTTTGGACCGTGTCTCTGTGCTCAGCAGACAACAGGTTGGGGAGCTTTTGAAATCCTTAGCACCATATTTTATTGTTCATGAATCAGAACTGAGTACACTCAAACAGCAACCTTCAGAGCTGGTGCCCAGAGAAAGCTCAGAGGGTCCAGAGCCTGTGCAGAGCACACGTGGCACAGGTAGATGGTGGTCTCCTGACCACGGGTGGCCTCTGGCGGCCACACCACGAACACACACTGGCAGCTCTAAGGACTCAGATCTTCCCCTCGGTTATCAGTTGCTCATCAACTGAGTGGCTGGGGAATGAGATAATGAATATTCCCCAACCCTGACTTGGGAAAATAATAATAGACTCCAATAAAAACTAGTGCTTATTTAGGAATAAATCATATTTTGAATCAAGGGTAAGAGATGTTGAAGCCCATGTTTTTTATTTTGTACTAAATGAAAAATTTTAAGATTGTTATGAATTCATTTCTCTGTTTGTAATATAGGAATCCAGATACAGGTGACATGATTCACCTGGCATTTAAATGATGCATTCATGTGAGATTTTATCACTATAAATTACGAGAATCACCTCATCTCAGATGTGCACTGAGGTCATGAGGGGTGTTGGGAGGGTATTAGGGTCTGGTCCAGGGGACGGGCCCACAAAGTAAGCCCCAGGAACAATTGTGTGTGGAAGTTAGTGACAGTGGTTTGCCTAAAAGATCCCAGTTTCAGTGAGGTATATGAAGGACATTTTTCCTAGATGCGATTATGTTTTCAACAGAGCTATTTCTGGAAGAGCTGTGTCACAGCAGGAAATAAGGGAGTTTGGATTTAAGTACATAGTTGGGACTGTCAAAGGATTCAGAAGCGGTGTGAATTGTTCAACTAGGATCTTAACTTTTCTCTACACTTCCTTTCAAAAGAGAACATTAAAATCAGATTAATTTTTGCCCAAACTTTCTTATCAGTGGAGATTTGGTAAGGATGATGAGATTTCCACAAAGGATGAGTGTTGAACCCGGTTATCTTCAAGATCACTTCCCAGTCTAGATTATTTTGGAGGAAGTACTCTTGGGTCTCCTTACTCACAGCTTCATTGCTTTTCCTTGTTTCAACTCAGTGACTGATTTATAATTTTCTTCATAGAAATACTATTTGTTTAATTTAGTCCTATGCAAGTTTTCAAGAAAAAAGTTTCATTTGATCAGAGAATTTTAGTTCTAGTTTGTGCTGGTGGTCACAAAAGGGATTGTTAGCGCTCTGTGTGTGTATGTGTAAGAGAGAGGTCATTTAGAAAACACAAGTTGTCCTTTCCTGTCTGAAATGTGTGACATTTCTGTTTGGATGTTGGAAGATGGCAAATTTCCCAGTACCATTTTCATCTCTGTGTCCTAAACATGTCACGTTATACACTAAGTACTTAGAAGAAAAGATAGCAACCTGACCTGTTTAATAGATCAGAAAATTATATTAGCACTGGAAGAACTGACAGGGGAAAAGCAGAGTTGGAGAAAAGATGCCCCATGGGGTGCAGGGCAGCCAGAGGGGAGGCCACTCAGCCATGAAGTCACGACAGGGCCTCTCCCCACTCTCGAATTCAGTTTCTTCATCTATAAAAACAAGTTCAGGTTTTTTCAAGTTAGTTACCTAATAATTATGTGGCGCCCTCTATGTCAGGTTTTCTAAGCTCTCATGCGAATCTCCAAAAGTCTTGGACCTTGGGTGACTCTCAAGGAGCATAAAAAGAGACACTAATGCCCCCATTTTCTTCCTCAGCCACTGGCCCCGCTCCCCAGTGGGTCCAGATGGAACTGGCAGGCCCTCCTTTCCTTCCTCTAGGCCATGGGATTCGGGAAATAAAGCTCCATGCAAAGATCTCAATTGTTTGTCCTGGAGAAAAGGCAGGTGAATGAATGCCTGGGTAATGAAAATATGGTATGTAATATGTACAATAAATATTTAACCATAAAAAGGAAGCCAATCTTGGGCCCTCCCAGGTGGTGCAATGGGTTCAAGCAAAGCACTATGAAGCTATCTGCAACCACTTTTGCAAAGACTGTCTCAAGAGGGTGCTCTGAGTTTGCCTGGCATAGGTGGCCCAAATGGGGTCATAATTACATTTCCCGCTTCTTCTCCACCAACCCCCCCCCCCCCAACAAGCAGTATTATTACAGAAAGGTGAAGGTGTTAGGAACTAGGGAGAAACACATTCTGCTTTTTCTGACAAGGTCTTCCTGAATTTCAAAGAGAAAAGACTTCCCTCCTTAAGTCCTTCCACCATTCTTTCCACGTTGTCCCTACCAGGAAGTATCTTCTGGAAAGGGAACCTCAGGAGACAAAGCATTTCCAAATATCTCTTCCACGTTGCCTTTCTGGAATGTTACCTTAAGTTTTGAAAGAACAGAAGTACGTACATGCTCAGAGGTGAAGGCAATGAGCCTGGGGACGGCAGCCATTCCTTTTTCCTTGACTTCTGGGAACATCTTAAAACGGGCGATCAGCATGGCGTACATGTTCGATATGGCGCCGCCTACAGGGCACAGTGACACAGTTACCTACTGGAGCCATTCAGCAACATCCGAGCACACAGAAGCATATTCCTTATCCTAGAGTCGTCCTTGGACACAGGGGAAGATCTACCTCTTGGCAACCCATTAATCAAATCCCCAAACTCAGGCACTAGCTTAGAGGGTCCAGAGAAGAATTATAGGGCCAAATATCGGAGAGAAACTACGGCACCCACCCCATCTCCTTAGGGGAACCGCAGGGAAGCTGCTGTTGTTGGGAGCCCTTCGAAGAGGCTTTTAAGAACTGAGAAATGTTGCTTTTCTACCCAGCTTGTGCGTGTGGTCACTGTGCATGAGGCTCATGAAAATCCTACTAGTATCCTTATGGAGAACACTTATTTCTATTCCTTTCAGGTCATGCAATGCCTTGTGCTTGGATTGAGTCAAATCAATTGTTATCAATGATGTGGACCAGACAAGAATAAACCAATCTTGGGCTGTATAGATGCCAAGTTCCTACAGACAAGAATAAACTTCTAAGCCTACCTCATCATACCTCTTAATCCTCCCTCAAACAGTTCTTCCTTCTCAAAATTATTGAAATATAATGGTCAACAAAACCTTATCCATAATTACAGAAAAACACATAACAAAGGGAAATTAAAGTTCCATACTTGATTTACTTTTCCTGAAGTGTTCTAAGATTGCCAAAGGGTTCATACTATAAGATTTGTTTCTTATAAACAGGGTCTCATTTGACAAGCAAAGAAAAGTGAGCTTTCCCCAGGATTTTGGAATACTTCGGATGTTTGCTGTCTGGAAGAAAGGCTACTGTGAATGCCATGAGTCTGCTGGTGTGGAAGTTGTGAGGCTGAATGAAGGCACCCTCTCCCCTCCCATCTGAAGGCTCTGCCACTGTGCCTGCTTTGGCTTTGGTTCCCTCTGAGCACCTGAAGAGCAGCAGGACTCTGTCATGCTGAGCAGCCGACATCCGGCCACAACCTCATGGGCCCAGGCCTTGCCCAGGGGAGACTCTGGCATCTACATCTCGCCCCATTTTGAGTTATAATAAAGCAAATTCCTCTCTTTTCTGGCCCCTAGAGATGCAGGACAAGCAGAATCCAGGTCAGGCCTGCTCTGAGCAGACACTCTGTCTGAAAGACTCGTCATGAGAGTCATTCAGGGCAAGGAGCCAAGAATGGAACCTTCCATTCTTGCTTGTGGTTTCTCAGTCTTGATTCAATGATCTTTGGGGATGGAGAGTTCCGGTGATGTCCTGGGCGCTGTGGGATATTTAGCAGCATCCCTGGCCTCTGCCCACTTGGTACTTGGAGTATGATGCCCCATCTCCCCTCAACCCAATGTGACAACCCTAACCCTTCCATACACTGCCAAAATTCCCCTGGCAGGCAAGATCACCCACAGTGCAGAACCACTGCCCTAGTTGTTCTTAGAGATGCTGGGGAGAAAGAAAGCAGAACAAGGAGAAGATGTATACAAAGAGGAGCATTTCAAGACAATTATCCATGAAGTTTCCGGTTTTGCTTTCCTACCCTTCATCTGGCAGCTTAGTCATTCTGTGTCTGAAGGGTCAGCATTCCTGGGGTGGGGGTGGGGAGCAGAGAAAGAGGCCCTGGACCTCTGTTTGTGCCACAGAGCACAAAGGCAGATGCATGTAGTCATCACAAAGTGGGAGGAGCCAGAAGAAGAGGCCTTAGCACAAGGGCAGAGCGAGAGCAAGGCTCATATTTTGCACACATCCTCCAGAGAAAAAGATGCAAGCGATTCCTGAAACACGGTCAATTTCATTAGTGAAAATGTAGGAATAGTTTTGTGATGAGCCCAGCCTTTCCGTTCCCCCCCCCCCTTTAGTCCTTCATGACTTGCTGGGCAGGGAGGAATGTTCCAGTTCTGTCTGGCTCACAGGTGCAGGGGACTCACATAAACAAATTTCTCCAAGGAGCCCCAAAGGACTTTCCATGAAGCAGAAGCCTGTGGATGTTGTAGATAGTGGTGTGAAGCAGACTGAGCCGTGCTATGTACAGATCTAACTCTTTCTTCATAGTCCCAAGCAAAGGGACACTCAGCTCTTAGGCATGTAAGATATACAATTTCCCTTATCTCCACCCCTTAATTTGTAAGAATCTTCACTCCATGAATAAGGCTAAAGCTCCCAAGAAAGGCATCCAATGACAAGTAAGGAGGCTATAGTCCTCTCCTTTTACAGAAAACAGAGCAGAAGGCCTCTTCTGGCCTCTCCCACTTTGTGATGACTACCTCACCCTGTGGCGTAACCTCTGTGGGCTTCCACCCTGGAGTGAGAGCATACAGGCACTTAGGATGCAGGATCCAAGCTGAGTCTCTTTTATCTGATCAATCCCCATCACGATGAGTGTAGAGGTATTTCCCATATCCATGCCTGGCTTAGTGGAACTAACAAAGAGAAGCCTTTTTCTGGGTAGATTTTCTGGAGTTTGAGGTTTCCACAAGTAGCTAGTAAAGTATTCCTGGCCCAAGTCATTCCCCTATCCTGCCCTTAGTCAGGATCAAAACAACAACTTTCCTTTTTCCCTCCTTGGGACCACTTAAAGGGAGTCTGGGTTGTTCCTGGCTCCCTCAGAGGCAACTCAATCACATAACCCTCCTTACAAGTGGAAGAAGAATAAAGGGAGAAATGGTGTTGAACTCTGCACCCTACCTAATTCCTCTTGAAAAATGAGCTAAAAGCACCATTCCAGACAGTGATGACAAAGTTCTCTCCAGAGGGTGTTCCACAGAAACCATCCCTTAAGTCCTAAATGCCTACAAAATAAAGTCTCCCTTAAAATTCATCACAGCCAGTGTTCAATGACAAAGAGGGGCAAAAGACTCATTTTTCTTTCTATTTAACTCACGTTTTCCTTCAGCACCTGAAAAATTGTGCTATAACATTAAAAACATAAAATAAATGGTCAGATCTGGGTTTGTAGGCAAACCTGTTTAATTTAAGTGCTGGCCTTGGGGTCACTGATCACAGTCATCATTTCTGAGTTTGCCTTTTCCTGATGTTCTCCTTCCCCCATCATCTGCCTGTCTGTGGATTAGCTGAGGCAGATCGGACTTGGCCTTTGCTAAGCCTGACATAATGGGAGGTAGGGGTGGCTTCCTCCAGACTCAGTGAGCCCTGAGGGAGCACCAGCCCATTGGGGTCACCTCGCTCTGGCCATGGAGTAGGCAGCAGTTGGGCACCAGGCCCCTTTTCCATGTTCCAACAATGCCCTTTCCCGCTGCTTTCCTAATTCCTATTTCTTCTCCAGATCAAACCAAGTTCACACACAGACCTCTGGGTCAAGGGCAGGGTTTTCTGTTCCAGGTTGATTCTCTGGACTGGGAGACGTAAATAGTGGAGCTTAAATGCAATGACTGGTGATAAAAGGCCAGAAGGAAAAGATCAAGCAGCATGATAAAGAAGGAATGCGAAATCTCCTGAAGAAATCACCACCCTCTTTTTCAGGTCCAAGAAATTGTTACCTGAGGTTCCTCTGTCCTCCTTGAAATTATTACAAATCAGCCTTGCTTCGTGAAAGGGCTGGGGTGTACGGGCTCTAGTTGGCAGATCTACCTCATTAGGTACCCCAAATAGAGACTGGTTTATTAAATGTGGTGACCTTTTTCCTTTCACTAATTCTGACAAGAGCCTTAGTGAGTGAATTCCTTGCCAGGACTCCTTATGGCTTTTGTTTTACCTATACAAACTGGGTTAAAGGTGGCAATGGAAATACTGGGTAAATGCCATCTCTGATTATGCTCTTTTTGGGATACAAATAACTACTGTTCAAGAGGGGGATAGTTGGCTTAGAGATGTGGTCAGTGATCAGGAGTGCTAGTCACTGTCATCCTTTTCATTAGCACACAGCTTACTTAAGCAGGAATGTGGACTAGATATTTAATCTTTCCAAGGTTCATGAAGAGGCACTATAAGTCAGAAGAAAAACATAGAGAAAGTTTGAAAAATCATATACCAGGAGAAAAGATCCCATCACCGGAGCCCCCTGGCCAGCCAATGATTTCTCTCATTTTCTTTAGTGTGACATATTCCAAAAGCACAAATACAGGAGCAATTTCATAGGTGAACCTGGAATGTAGTAAAGGCCACATTTTATGTGTGTAGCTAAGAAAAAGTTCACAATACAATGGCTACAGAACTATTTCTTCTTCAAACTCTATATTCACAAATGTTATGATTAGAGAATTATGCAGAGAAAAGTATGTCTTCTAAAGGTTTTCTCATTTTTTTATATGCTGAAGGCCAAGAGCTTCATTTATTGGCATAAATAAGTTATTTACCATATTGAATGGAGTTATTTGCCATACTGAATGAAGAATTGAAGAGTAATACTATCTAACAGATTACATATTATCTTATTTTTCTTTAAATTAGGCATCATTGTAAATCCAAAATTCCAAAAAACTCACTTTTGTGTTTAGAAAAATTTTGTATAACTTTGATTACATGGAATATACATCAGGACTATTTTCTATTAGGCTACTCATGTAATTCTGAAGGTGGTATCACTGCTTTAGGAACTACTTAAAAAAAAAGATTGTAACATAAGAGGTAAAGACTAATAGTCATCACAGATTATACAAGACACATTAGTTACTTACATGTTTGTGTTTGCTGTTGATGTAAGCCAGTCTGCTGCTAATCCAACCATATCCAGTCCAGTGGAAAGTTGATTGAAGTATCTGGGATGCCCTGAAAAATGGAATCCATACTTGGAATTACATGCAATGAAAATAAATGCCACTGAAATGTGTGATTTCCCGAACTAAAGAATCTTGAAAGATCTTTCATGGAAATCCACATTCAGAAGCCCAACACACACACACACACACACACACACACACACACACACACACCCACCCCCCAAAATCATTTTGTTCTAACAGGAGAGATTATTTTGGGTGTTAATATTTTATATGACACATTTTTAAAATTTCCTTTCAACATGCCCTTTAAAAAATAACAAATGTGGTTTGCAGTCTGAGCACTAGTTTATTTCCTATCATTCTTTCAATACACTTGCAAACTTAAGTGCTGGAGCAACCCACAGCTAAAGGCGGGCTGCTCTTGTTTACACTCATGCTTCTACAAATCTCCCCACCCTTGTTGTTGAAGCTGTTCATACCTTGACGTCCGCCAGACATGTCAACATTCATAATAATATCAGTGACAGATGACTGATGATTACAAAAGACAAGACAAAAATGAGAAAATAGGACAGTTAGTGGAGTGATTTGACCTGGATTCAAAGGTGATGATTGGTGAAAAGATGGCATGGACAAACGCAATTCTCTTCAACTTTTTAATATGTATTTGATTGCGAAAACAATGAAACAATCATTGTTGAGATTTAAAATAAAACTGAATACAATTAATGTCACTATTTCATCAAGATACATAAAGATATAATCCATAGACTAATCAGTCCATTAGCAAGGCTTATTTTTATTAACTTCTCGATTTCTCAAAAACTCTCTGAAGGGGTTGACATGCAAATACTCCGAGGCTATTGTTTAAAATGGGATTGGAAATAGCTCATTAGAATTCTGTTTCCTTGTCTTGCCCCATAGAAATCTATCTATAAATAATCCATAATAATCTTAGCAGCAGATATTTTGGAAGATTAATAATAATGGAGATAGCATCTGATAAAAATAAGCACCTGCCACTTATGGGAGAGCAGACGGAAGCCTGGGATGTGATAGTCTCTCATCAAGAGCATGGATGGGACAAGATAAAGGAAGGCAATGGGGAGAGCAAGAACAAAAGTCAACACAGAGCTTATCGCCAGGCTGGAGGGCTCTCTTATCAGTCTTTGGCATGTGGCTGGAGAATTAGACACTGAGGCAAGATAGAGTTAGGAAAAGCACATTAAAAAGGATTGGGATTCGTGCAGCCTTGCTTACGCTCTGGGATTGTTTAGTCTCCCCAGGGCCTTACACATTCCCTTCTCTCTTTCTACTCTTTCCACACCCTCTGCTGCTGACTTCTGTCAGTTTCCCTGTCCAATGAAAGTGAAAAGGCTTTTTTGCTGCCACCACCGCCGTCTGGAACAACCCTCCACTCCTCTCTGCCTCATTGACTCCCATTTCATTAGCGCTCACAGCTGAAATCATTGCCATTTTCTCCCTCCTGATGTTCCTCCATTTCTCTGTACCTGAGCCATTTTTTAAAGCAAGGAAATTAGTAAGGGTTAGCGAATCTATCTATTAATCTACTCCCTTGATTCATTTTCTGGATGAAGCTGGTGTCTATTACCATTCACTATTTAACTCCATGGAAAAGCTGACATGAAAACCTCTGCATAGAATAGAAAGACATGTGTCCTGGGAATGGAATGAATGAATACCTCTGGGGAGTGATGGAAGCAGGTTTGATGCTTCCATCGCCTGGCTCCCTTCTGTGTTTTTTTGAAGGGAGTCTTCTATTGCACCAGAATCTCTCCAGCTTCATGATTTTCACCCTCTGATGATATGAAAACATGGAGGGAGATAGGTTGACAGGTCAGAGCACTTAATGCCTTCTTGCTATCAGCAAAAATATTTTGCAGATATAATGTGTATTTCTCTCTCTGCATAACCCCTACAGGCTGCGTGAAGGCTGCCCAGCGGACCTAGGCGGGCCTCTCTGACTGCAAGGGGTGAGAAACCTGCCAGCTGTGTCTGCGGCTCTTCTACATCCAGCTGCTGTCGCCGCCACCCCCACCAGGCCCTGCGCTGCCAGCGTGCGCGCGGAATACAGGCGGCTGCTCAACCTGCGTAGCCAGGGAGACAGCCAGTTTGAGACGAGAGCCTCTCCCGCCCCTGGAAAACTAGTCACACATTAGCAAAAGAGCCGGGAAGGGGCGCGCAGGCTCAGCGAACAATCAGCCCCTCGCAGTGCAGACCCTCCTGTCTGCCAGCAGTCGGGGAGGGGCCAGAAGTCGGCCCAATCTGCTTCCTAGGTCCCGGCGACACTGACACTCGCTAGGACCGCCTTGTTTATTGACGCTACAATTCCTTTGTTTGATGGTTGGGTTAACAGAACGAAGACATTAACCCCCAGCCATCACCACCACTACATCGAATGACTGTAACACTTGCAAGCATTAATTATACCAGAATTCTAGCATTCTCTGCTCCAACATTTCTTACAGAGGTAATTTTAGGAATGCAAAAAGAGTTCATTTTAAAGTATTTCTCTACTATCTCTCACTTCTCCTAAGCTGGGAGTCCAAGTGGAAATTAGGTTAATGACTCTCAGGAGAAGGCAGGTGATACATGCATTTTATAAGAGAATCTCCAGAGCAGTATCAAAATACCTAAAGGTAGCAGGGATGGTAAATAGTATACCAGCTGTCAAATACAAGTGATAGCATAAAAGCCCATAAACATGCCAATCAAAAGAGAGCTGAATGAAATTACATTTCATACTTTGAATTTCACTGAGGATGGGAGGAAGGAGACCAGAAGGTTATACATTTATGAATAATATTGGTATGCTGTACTTAGAAATCCAACTTTATCAAATTTCTATCTGAACTTTGAATTAAATGCATTAGTGCTCTACTGGACTTGTATCTCCACAAACCTTATGGCAAAACGTAAGAATTGAATTGGCCCATCTTTTCCTGATACTAAATGGGCTATTGACAGACTTGCATTGACTGGTGTTCTCATTATCTCAACTCTTTAAATTGCATTTCAGACACCACTAGCTTTCAAGGATGAAGATGAAAAACATTTTTGTAGATTCTTTTTGTTTTGGTAACAATAAAAATAATAGTTAGCAATTTATTATGATATTCAAATGTTTGGCTAAGGGAATGAGTCAAACAAAAATGAATTAAAAGCACTGTTCAGGCTTGCACCTACAGATATTTGAAAAGCACGGAGGAAAAACATCATCAATGCCTAGTATATTCACCATTATATTTCTTTATGAACATAAGTGAGAATGATATTTAATGAGCATTCAAAAATCATACTCCATAGACTGTTTGAATTTGATACCAATTGCCAAGCTAAATTCCTTTTCCTATGAATTCAGTCTCACAAAACCAGTTCCTAATGATATAGCAAATTAGTAAATATACAATTAACTAATAACATAGTAACTTGATTTCTCAAGTCAACTACTATGCATAATTATCCTCTCTCTTGGCAGAAAGAATGTGCAAAGGGCAAAAAGCCCTAATATTTCACAGCAAGCATTCTGAAAGTGTTTGTTGTTGATGAGGATGATATGGCTAATCCAGCAACAAAAAAATTCCCAGTATAAAAGATCATTTTTAAAGCAATTAATATTCATGTACTCTTTTACCTATTTATTTGCTTGCATTTTTTTAAAAAGCTACAAATCCACAAATCATTTGAAATCCAGAGAGGCCTCCCCCTCCTCCAATTCATTCATACTTCTTTTTATTGCTTTAATGAAGTGCCACGGTGTGTCAGGATGATTACAGGCAATGTAGAAAACAAGAGGTAATCATGGCCTGGAGAGATGAGTAGCGAAAATGAAAGCATGGACTGTACCTAAATAAGTGCACTACCGGGGATACAAATGGATAGCGTGGAAAAATACTGTGAGGGAAAAGGTCAGACCACAAAACACATTAATCCCCCCCCCAAGAATGTCTAGTGGCTCCCCTTCTTTCCCTTTATTTTATATACATAGTGCTATGAAGCAAACACATTCTTGAGTGACATGGCTGAATTGTTAAGCTATCTTGTATTGTGCTGTCTTTTGTGTACACTTCTTTAATAATGGAGAAAACCTGGAGTTCATATATGAAGGCTTGGCCATTTGAAACAATGCCAAATGTTATACCTCTGGTTTACTGATCACATATGCTGGCTCATCTAATTTCTGACCATCTCTGTGGCAAGTATATGACCAGCACTACCGTGATATTTGGGCTTTTGGATGGTGCTGTTTGAGTTGTTCTTACTTCCATATTCTCTTTCTCTCTGTACTGACAAATGGTTGCTTTCCTATCATAATCTCATCATTGAATACGTGCAACGTAAACTCTGAAAATCTACATTATTCTGACAGTTTACACTTAGTGTTTCTGATATTTTCAACTTCAGAAGTGTTAACAGTAAGGGTACTTTTGTTGTTAATCACAGTCATAAATCTCATATTTCTTAAATGATGAAAGTAACCTTGTCATTTTGAGAATAATCGTAATGTCATAAAATAAAACATTTTTATAGAAAAAAATGTAAAGGAGAAAAGGAGCTTTATTATTCCTGATTCCACAATACCTGTTTTAATTGCATATTTTAGAGTTGTTTGGCAATGCATCAAAATTTCCTCCAAATTTTGGGGCTGGTCTGCCAATTCCCAATTATACTGTTGAAGAAGCTCGTTAGGGTAATGGAAATCAATCACTTTGGTTGATCTATCAAAACTTTTCACCACATATTGAAGCAGAATGTCCATAACATTTTGCAGAAATGCCAAAGTGGGCCTTTCTCCATCACATGCTGGCAGCAGGTCTAAAACATAGAACCAAAATACCACATTTTAATTTTATTATGAAAATATCCATGCAAAATCCGGCTATTTCTCTTTGAGCTGAGAGATTTTCTGTTAAAAATAAAGCTTTTGAAAACGCAGAACATTTCGTGAAGGGGGAGATATTTTCCGAAAGATGAAGGAATGAAGGAAACTATGACTCCCTCCCCTCACCCTCAATTGATTCCTACGTTTCCATGCGTCATTTATTTGCTTTAGAATGTGCGTCCCTTAATTTATTTCACAGAGGCTATTCTTAAAAGCCATTTCTCACTAAATCATCTTAAACGATAACGGAAAAGCTCACATCAGAAATGTTGGAGGAGTGCCTTCGGGCTAGCCAGGCGAAGTGGAACGCTTTGGTCTGTTGCAGAGATCCGTTATTTCCAAAGTCGGTGTGTGCTTGTGTGTGTGTGTGTGTGTGTGAGCGCGCGCGCGTTGTTTGGATAACTGGGTGTGTAAAATCAACAAATTTGTGTGAACTGAAGAGTAAAAACCGCTCAGGTCTCTGTGAGTAAAACCTTTTTCTTGTGAACCCACATCTACACATTACTTTCAAGATCTAAAGACCTAGAACCTCTCAGCTCTTCTGAACTGGAAACGCACCACCACCCGAGGCCTCCGTGGCACCCAAAAACCTGCCTGTAGCTAGGACGCTCCGGCGCGCTGGTCACCTACAGACGGGTGGGCGGCGCAGCGTGAAGAGAGCCTCTGCCCGGACCCCCAGGGAACGCGGACACCCGGCGGCTGGTAGAGACCAGTGCGCGGGCTCAGACCGTGAGGCGGGCTCAGCGTTTCTAGCTTTCAGCTCACTGTTTTCCCAGGGGCCTCCTCTATCTTCACCTCGACGCCTCACGTCAGGCTCATAACACCTAGTCCTGCAGGCTGAGGTGAGAGGGGCAGAACTAGAGCTAGGGGCTCCAAGGGGCCCCAAGAGGCGACTTTACCTGTTGCGTGCAGACAAGCATAGTCGACTTCGGCTTTGGCGCAGCTGCACGGCTTCTGGTCGCAGGGGCAGGCGGCCTTCCGCGAGGTGGCCCGCGGGGGCTCGCTCCCGCCGCTCTCCGCCGGTTTCTCGGCGTCTCCGTAGAGCAGGGCTGGTCAAGGACACGGAGCACGCGCCTCGGTCAGTCGCCCAGGCGCCCCGGCCCCAGCCCATCCCCTGCTGAGACACCCGCAACTCGGCCGGCCAGGTAGCTTGAACGTGAGAAAGGGCTTTGTTTCCGCGGACCCCGGAGTGCCCGGCCCTACCCATCCACCCCCCCGGGCTTCGGGCACTCACCACACAGTTTGTTTCCAATGCCGCCGGTGAACTTCTGGGCTACCTGACACCAGGCTCTCGCTGCAAGACGGACCGGAGGACAGAGAGGCAGAAAGAGAAGAGCAGGAGAACGTGTGAAATTTCCTTTTACGTAAATAACGTCAATATTCTCGGGGTCGCGGCTCGGCACAAGCTGCAGGTGCGCTGTGCGCGGGAGCTAGATGGCCCCTCCAGCGCTAGGCTCGCTGACTTGTTTCCCAAAGAGAAAGGGAACACCTTCCCTTCCTCTCGCATTTCCCCACGGCCCTTGTGGTTATTTACTACGCTGCTCATCCGCTCAGGCTAACTCCCCTTCCTACCTTGTTGGGACGAGCTTCCTCGACCCCGAAGCTGTCCATTTCGCTCAGGATCTCCTAGACCTAGACTTCACCCTCCTTCCCCATTTTCTGTACCCCCTCCCCACCCCCCGCCCCAGCCATGAACCCCTCTCCAGGGTCCAGACACCAAGATGGTGCCATTGCCCCAAAGCCACGTATTCCGTGTCAAGGAGACGCTGCCTTCTTTGGGTTTCTTTCAGATTCAGAGGAATGGGCCCTCCCGAGACTCTGGGCACAAGCAAACATAGGGAGTTTTGGTCTCTGGGACCATCAAGGACCAGCCCAGAGAAAAGGGCAAATCGGCTAAAGTTTCCTGTTGCAGGTGGGAAAACCTCCTTCTGTCTTCCCCCTTGTCCAGAAAATCCCCAGTCCACCGGTAAAGCTCGCCGGCTGCAGATCTAGGTTCTCTTACCTGTGCCGGGGTTCTCAGGATCCCCGGAGCCGTCTTCAGACCCAAAGGACCAAAAGCCGGAGCCAGGAGATGCCATGGGCGCTGCGAGACCGGAGCAGGTCGCTTGCCAGTGCAAACTGTCGGCGAGCTGTCCTGGGCTCGGCCCTGCGCGCGCGCGCGTGCGTTCGTGTGAGTGTGGCGAAGGAGGGCACCGCGCGCGGACCCGCGGCGGAGGGTGGGTGTCACACAGGGACAGGAAACCTGTGTGTCTGCGGGTGCATGTGCCTGTGGATTAGGGTCAGGGCTTAGAGACGTGGTAAGGCTCTGAAAACTGTAGAGGTGAATAAGGCGGAAAACCGAAAGGTTCTCACTTTCAGCCGGAGATGAGAAAGAGCCAAGCACCCGATTGATTTAAAAGGAGAGGCAGCCCAATAAGGATGGATGAGGGGGCGGTGGAGGGGAAAAATGGGAGAGGGAGGGTGCTGAATCGTGAGGGTGCGAGGCAGGCAGTGCGCACGAGCTGTAGTCAGAGTGCGGGGGTGGGAGGCGTGCGGGAGAACCCCAGGAGAGCGGGAGGACTAAGGGCAGGCTGCCCCCGCACGCCCGCGTGCGCTGTCCAGGGTGCTACCGCGGCTGCTTGCGCTCGGATCTCAGCGGGGATAAATTAGAGGGACCTTGTCCAGGCGGGAAAGGTGACACGAGTTTAGCGTATGCAACGAGTGGCGTACAGTTTGAGATTTGGTTTTCGCCGTGGGTAAGAAGGCGTGGTTTTAGCACCGCCTTCATCTAAGCCAATACGGAGGTCGCTGTGACCTCGAGATCTCCCCGAGCCAGGCCGGAATCTTGAGCGTTTGGCGAGCTTGGCAGGGGAACGTGGGGGAAGGGCGCCTACGCCCTGATGGGCTCATTTCAGCTTCTTAATGGAGGCAAATGCCTGCCTACCCAGCGGCAGGGTCCCCGGGGATGCACCATTCCAGAGCTTCGGAACACGCTTCGGTAGGTGGTGGGACCTACCGTCTAGGGTCTGACTGACGACTGGGGAGAAAGACTGCTGAATGTGGAGATTAAAATCCATGCTGGAGTCTAATACCGAGGATCTCGGCTCGGGAAAAAAACAAAAACGAATGGAAACTTCTAAAAAGGAGGTGCAGGAGGGCAGCCTGAGCCCGTAGGATTGACGACTGAAGGGAGGTGGAATCGGGTCGTTTGGTGACCTTGGCTGGCTGAGGCCTGGAAGAACACGCAGTTTACCGTGTGATGGGAATCGGTGCGTGCGTGGGAGGGGTGCATAGTTTCCCAATCTGGCAATCTGCATTTTCCAAATCCGAGGCAGAAAGAAGCCTGGATCTCGCTTTTTCAATAAACCACATGTCAATGACCATCACTTTCCGCCCCACACCAGTCCCTCCGCCCCAAACAAAGACTTGCTGGAGATATTGGCGGGTGGGAAAGGGAGCGGGATTTGCTACTTCCGAGGCCTTTCCTTATATAATAAGACAAACAAAAAAAAGAGAGAGAGAGAGAGAGAAAGAATCTTTCTCACAATGTCCTTTTTCCTAAAAGCTGGTAAACAAAGGGAGTGTGCCTTGAGAAACTGGGGCCAGTTGAGTTAGGTCGCTTTCTCTCCGAAGTGGAGACGGATCTCAACTACTCCTTGCTGCTCTCGGTTAGAGGAGTGAAGGCGAGGGGGAGCCCGGTGGGAAAAGGCCGCCTGGCTGCGTGCATTCCCGGCCCGCTGCTCTCCTTGGGTGAGCGCCTTTCATTCCCATTACGCTCACCAGCCATTCCTTCTCTGACCTTCTGAACCAAGTCATTAAGGCTGTTGCAAAGCAAAGACCAGTGGATCCTCAGTCATGGGTAGCATACCGCTACCTTCACTTAGGAGAATGTCATGGGGTCCAGGAGTAGTCCAACTCTTGTGCTCCCAAACACGCGGAGGCCTAGTCAGTAAAGCTTTGGGTGCTTTCCATGTGCGGCACCCATAGCAGGGGTAGGGTTTGCATCTTTTGGCCCAGCCAGCTTGGGTCTGGGAATGGAGGCTGACAGGCGAGACGACTGGGTCCTGCCACGGGGTTGGCCCAGGGTCTCCCCAGGATGGGGGTGGGGTGGGGTGGGCAGTTACTCAGGCCTCTTTCCAGTGCTCACCACTCAGACGCATTCCAGTTGGGCTTAGGTAGCAGCAACTCCAGGTGCCTAAAGAGGTCGCGGTTGGGCGCTGTGTTCCGTGGGCAGGGGTGTTCCACAGCTCTTGCTCCAGCAGCGTTTGGAGTGTCACAGAAACCACCTTTGTTTAAATCCATCTCAAATCTTGCAAATGTTTCGCTTAAAGCAAGCAGGCCAGGTTGGATGAGCGATCAAAAATCTCCAGGTTTCCAGGTAAACACACAACGAAACCCTAAAGGTAGAGTTCCCAATACCTGGATTTAACAGGTTTTTTTTTTTTAACTTGAGACAATCAAAAGCTGTTTAAATTTCATTAACTCTTACTTACACAGAGCCTGAGTACTTTGACTTTAATGGCAGAATTTACATTAAACACACACACACACACACACACACACACACACACACACACACACACACACACACACACACACACCCTACTTCAGAAGCAAACCGAGATCTGATTTGTCTTTCTTTAGCGCTGTCCCTCCCTAGACGGCAATTTGCTTCATAAAGACTCTGATTTCGCAAAAGAGCCCACTCCCTCCTCTCTCCAGCTAGGGGTAGGAGATAACAAAGGAGCTTAGGGAGGTAATAATTACAGCCATTAGTTCACAAAGGAGGCAGTCCCGAAGGGGAAGGGGAGGCGGCCACCGCTGGGGAGAAGCTTGGGGAGGCACCTCCTCAAATAAGGAGCTTTCAGCAGAGACCCACAATGTAGGGGCCGCTGGGGCCAGCTTCCTAGGATGACCCATCTCTTGTCTGTGGCTTACCCAGAGATTGCATTGCAGGGGTGTCAAAGAAAAGTGTCTGGTACAAGTTCTCCCTTTTGTCTTCCCATTGTTTAAACGTGAAGAACAGAGGAAGAAAGGAAGATGGAAAGGAAAGCAAAGAAACACAAAGGAAAAAAGGGAAACAGACACATTGAAACCTTTCTCCGAGAGTTTGCCATCTGCATTTCCAGTTCCACTTTAAAGAGAAGGTGGAGTTTGTTCCTTCTGCATTCAGCGAGGCAAGAACTGGCTCTGGCTTGCAGGGGCCACTTCGGAAGCCTGGACTGAAAAAGGGGCCTGAGAAACAAGCGGAGCTCGAATTTTCCTACTCAAAACCAGGTGCTGGGTGGACCGGTGGGTAGGGGCGGAGGAAGCAGGATCACTGGGTTACAAGTATTCACCCACCCCACCCCCACCACTCTGCACCACCCTAGTGTACTGCGCCCCGCTGCTCTGGTTTCATTGTCGTCTGGGCAAGGCAAGCTCCGCAGCCCACCACAGCTGCACAGTCATTTGGCTCAGCAGGGGTGGGAGGGTCGGAGCGTTAGGGATTCCCTCAGTCGGACCCACCCCCAGCTGAGGCCAGAGCTCCAACTCTGGGGGAAAAGCAGGCCGAGAATGCACCTGCATTTGGAGTACAGCCACGCCATGGCCAGGTTTCCTCTCCCACAAGCTACACTTGTGAAATGAATAGGGTGAACCAGTCATTGCCAGGAACCTTTCACCGACAACTGTCAGGGTTGGAGAGAATGTTACCCGGTGGATAAAGGCATAAAACCAGCCGGCCGCATGAGCCCTCAGTCTCCTGGAATATTTCCCCAACGTCTCCAGGTTCTGCCTTGAGTGCTGTCAGAGGAATATCCACAAAAGGGACGAGCTAGCGCCTGTCCCAATGCAGTCGTCGGGGAACCCACCGCGCCGTCCTGCCTCACCCTTTCCAGGTCGAATAGATGCGAAGGGGGACAGTTGCCTACCAGCGCTTAACCTGCGGCTTCACACAGGTAGCGGCCAGCCTCAATGCAAACGTCTGCCTGCCCACCGCCCTCCCCTCCGTTTTAAACACACCAAAGTTTAGAATAGCGAAGATAGCCATCCAATTTGCTTTAGTAGAACCTCAAAGAATCCTGACAGTTCAATTCAGTGGTGTGACCAAAGGAAGCCACGTGGAAAGGCTGTGTGTGTGTGTGTGTGTGTGTGTGTGTGTGTGTGTGTGTGTGTG